GAACCTTGTGCAGAGAGCCCAGAGACAACATCCCTGCAGAGACAGGAGAGCAGACCCTTCCCTGCACCCAACATCTCCAGCTGTACTTGTTCCTGCGTGCTAATCCCTGTCAGGCACAGAGGCAGCTGGAGGCAGGGCTGGAATGGGAGCAGGGCACTCAAACCACCAGGGCACTTCCACCTGCAAAACTACCACAGTGATAATTCAGCAGCAATTTATGGTTTTGAGTCTCAGCTGTGTCATCACAGCTGAGCAGAGACTGAAGAGCCCCAAACCCAGTGACCACTCTCTGTCTGCAGCTCTGGTGCAGAGGTTTGCTGCCTCTGCTTCCACCAGTGCAAGGCCCTCACCTGGGTTTGCTGTGGGATGAAGTTATCCACAGGATCAGATAGATCTTGGGGAAATCACCCTTTAATTGACCCCCTTATTTCATGAAAAGACTGATTTCCAATTTGCCTAAATTATAAGGCATTTCCATGTGCAGTGCAGCACAGGGGCAGGTGGGGACCTCCCTGCTCCACCCAGCCTGGCCCTGCTGGCAGCCATCAGAGGCCACCTCTGGCTCCCTCCATGGCCATGGCCTTGGCTGTGCTCAGCTATCAAAAGGAAAACACAGGGCAAGTGTCCTCACTGCATAAGCCTGCAGAGAGTCAAATTCAGCTGCACTCTTGGTTACTTCCATCATTTGACCTTCACTATTATAAGATTTAATTGCAGTTAAAGTTGTGCTTCCATCTTCACCTGTCTCTCTCCTGGCAGAGATTCCAAGTGAGCCCATGCTGCCCGTGCAAGCATGGCTGTGATCACTGGGTTTTGTAGTTTCTCTGTACTGGTGAATGAAGTGTGACCAGACTGACCCTGACACCAAAGATGGGTATCAGGGAACAGAGCAAGTCTTGCCCTCAACCTCTCCTGTGACACCATGCTGCCCTTCCGCCAGCATCCCTACCTCTGGCAGCTTCTAGCCTTGCTGGGAATGGTCTTGGCCCATGGGAAGCCTTGGCCTGAGATGCTCCAGGTTAATGATGAGACTGGGAAGAGCCTTTGTTTTTGATGAATTCAGTTTTTAATGTGTCCTGGGTGTTGGAGGATGGTGAGACAACCTGGAGCAGAGGGGATGCAGCACATGGAGATTGCAGGCTGCTGTAAGATGGAGGCAATCCATATGCTCAAGGCATGTGGTTAACTCGCCAGACAGTAAATCAGTGCTCTGAAATGCCTGACCTTACACTGCAGCATCTCCCTGCTCCCTCAGCAGGGGCTCTCCATCTCTATAAAAAATAGCCACTGCATTGGTACAACTCTCCAGATTCTCTCACGTTTCCTGTTAGACTTTCAAAGTCCAAACACAAGTCAAGGTCTCCAGCAAGTTCAGTGAATGTCCATTAATCTCTCCTGGCTCAGGCACCCCATCAGCTCAGTAAACCCCAAGTCCAGAAGAGTTCCAGGCTGTCAGAGGGATGGGCTGTTGCAGGCCATGTCTGTCCCAGGTCTGCTGCAGAGGGATTCCAACAAATCCCCTTTCTGCAGAGGGCTGGATATGCAGGTGTATCCAAGGTCTCCAGAGACTGAATGAAGCTGGTTAATTAATTTCCAGCATGGAGCAGGCTGATATCCTCCTGTCAGCAGCATCTACAGACACCCAGTGGCTCTGGGAGGAAGATGAGGATGGTAGGGATGGAATCCTATGGAGTTCTTTTCTCCTCCTGCTCAGAGGATGCTGCCATCGCAGCTCGCTTTCCCTCCTGCCCCCCCATGAACTGGCTCCAGGGAGAGGCATGGAAACTGGGACAGTTGACAGCACAAGAATGGGAGCAGCCAATGGCATGGGAAGGAAAAGCCCAAGCCCCTCCAGCTGGAGCAACCCCCTCCCATAGCTCGGGGAACAAACGCACCAGCGAGCACAGAAACTACCAGGAAATAACAGCATTAAGGAAAACCCGGGGAATTAAGAATAAAACCTTGCCACTGAGAAACACAAGACCAGGCTTTAGCGTCTGCCCTAATTTAGCTCTTTCCCTCTGGAAAGGACTATTTGTGAAAAGCTTTGTGCTCATGTCCCTGGCATTAATCAGCCCCTGTCAGCCTCCAGCTCTGTGGATCCCCCTGCACTTGCAGGTGCGCTGCTCTATCCCACCCTCCCACGTGGCAGGTACCCAGTGGCTCCAGCCTTTCACAACAGATATCCAAGGGGCTCAAAAGTGCCTGAAGATTTTTCTTTTAATTAGAAGAGCTCTGGAGACATGCTATATTCATATGTATTTCCTGCTATTTTTTTTTAATTTATTGCTACATCAGCTATTAAAAAAAAAAGGCAAAAAGAAGAAAGGAAGGGAGCTGCCACAAGCTGAGCGCCTTTTAGGATGAGTCACTGCATCACTGAAATGGCTGCTGGCTTCAGACTCACCCTGCCTCTACGATTTGCTTCCAGCCTGCAGAAGAGACCACAGCAAGAGGTTTTGCCCCTGTGCCCGTGTGGAGGATTTGCTGTAGGGTTATTGATATAATCCATCCCAGCCTTTGGCAGGTGGAGATTCGCCTTCCTCAAGAGAGGAAGATGGGGGGAGACATGAAAGGAAGAGATGGCGAGGCATTTCCAGCTGACCTGATTTTCTGCTTCTGCCCATCTCCACATCACTGCTGGTTAGCTCAGGACTGGCAGCAGGGACACGGGGCTGGCCTGTGCCATGGAGAGCTGTGCTTTACCAGGGCCGTCGCAAACACAGCTGTGCCAAGGAACAGCCCTTACACCTCAATTCACTGGAAAACAGCCTTAAAGTGGGAGTCTCCCTTTCCTGCCACAGCTTGCCAGTGTCAGTGTGAAGGCAGGCCAACAGGTTCTGGCTGGCTCGTGGCAGAGTCAGACCTTTTGCCTCTGAATTTGTGGGGAAAAGAGAAAAGTCACCTCAGGTGCCGTTGATACAGCAGCCTAAGTCTCCTCTGAAGGATGCTGTGATGCCAGCACAAACCTGCACGGGGCCTCTGCAGCCTGGGACATGAAATTCCCTTCTCTGCAGTTGCTTCCAGCCAGAGCCTTGAGTTGCAGCAGGAGATGTGGAGGTGTCTCCTCTCCGTGTCTTCCAGCTCCTTCTCAGGGTGATCCCTCCAGTCTGGGGGCAATAAGGACAGAGCCCTGTCAACTCCTTTCCCACTCATGATTCAGCTCCTCCACACAGCCCAGGGACACTCATCAAACCTCCTTGAACTGGGAGAGCTGATTTTGGGGGGACAGGGCTGAGGTCTGCTCTGTAGTAGAGCATAAACAGGGCTCTGGTGCAGACACAAAGTGCCAGATGGAGTGGACGCCCTTGCAGCGCCAGGCACAGCTCCTTCCCTGAAAAATGGCTGGATGAGAACTATTTTCAGAAGGGAAAAGAAAATTCACCCTGATCACCATATGTCAGTGACAGGCAGAGAAAACCCCACGTGGGAGCCAGCCCTCCTCCTACCCTGTGGGCTGCACCCTGCTGGGGCTCAGCACCCACCGTCAGCCAGGCTCGCAGCTGCCTGGAGCAGACAAAGATGGGCATGTTTATCTTGCAGCTTCCAGGGATGCTCAGCCATCTCTAATTGCCATAAAAATAAATGCTTTTTGCTTCATATCACAGAACAGAGGAATTTCCCTCTGTCTTTTTTTTTTCTTTTTTCTTTTTTTCCTCTTTTCTGAGGCCTCCCTCAAAGTCATCCCTTCCCCCTCCCTCCGCTGCCTCCTTGCCATGTAAACAAGCACAGGCACACACAGTCTGACACATCACACACATGGAGACACGCTGATGGCCCTGCAGCGGCCAGCTCTGCCTGGCACAGGGACAGGACTGGCAGCACACGCGGAAGGCGGGCGTGCGGGCAGGGGGAAGGATGCTCGCCACCAAAAAGAGCTCTCAGTCCGCTTCGTGCAAGCCTGGAGGAGGCTGAGAGCCCTCAGGCTCCAGCCCCTCGGGCTATAATCAGCGAGACGATGGAAGGGATGCAGAGGGTGCTGCGAAGTCTCGCCCCGTGCGAGCTGCCCGTGTGACACAGCTGCTCTGTGCTGGCTGCCGGAGCAATGAGCCATCGCTGCGGGGACACGCAGCCCCGGCCGTCACCCTAGGAAGGTCCCTTTCCCATGCTGTCCTTCCCATCCCTCTGCTCCAGCGGCTGATTTCGGGGGCGCTTGGTGCGCTGTGTGGGGATGGCCCCGGGCGGCTCGCTGACCTGAAAGCAGCGTGTGCCATGCCCGGGGCTTGCTCGCCTTCTCCCACCTCCCAGAGAGCCTTTGGAGAGACACCGAGGAGCTCGGCAAGCCAGGGCAGCGCTTCCCGGCGGGGCTGCCGCGCTGCCCCGCACACTCCCAGCTCCAAGGAGCACGATGGAGATGGATCGCACGGAGGGCGACTGCGAGGGCAGGGGGGCATCGTGTGCCCGGCGAGGGGCGGCAGCGCTGCCCGGGCCCTGCTCGGCCTGAACGGGCACGGCACAGCACAGCCCGGCCCTGCCGGCTGCGGGGGCTCAGCCCCAAGGGCAGCGCTCGCAAAGACCTGGGGTAGCCCAGGGCCGGGTGAGACGGGCACCCCCAGCGCGGCTGGCACAGCCATCCTGTGAGCTCTCCAGCTTCCAAGGCACTTCTAGCAGGTAAGACTTCAGGAATGCCAGGGGTACCCTCGCCTGCTCCAGATTCCCGATTCGGTTCCGTGGCAGGGGACACCGCCAGCCTCGCACGGAGCTGTGCGGACCTGCCAGCCGGTTTCGCCAAATTCATCTCGTGGGTCTCGTCCGGTGGGTTCTCCTCGGGCACCCTCAGCCCTGTCCCCTATACAGAGCTGGGCAGGAGCTGGCGGGAGGCAGAGGCAGCCACGAACAGGGCACCGGCGGTCTGGAACCGGGGACTGGGAACCGGGAATCGGGAATCGCGCTCTCCCCGCCTGCTCCCGCGCCGCGGCGCCGGCGGGCGGGCGGAGGGCGGCACCGGGAAGGGCGGCGGGCGGGACCCCGGCCCCGCGGAGCTGCTGCCGCCGCCGGCCCCGCAGGGCTCGGGCTCCGCGCCGGGCGCGCTCGCTGCGGCGGGGGCGGCGCCGAGGCAGGTGAGCGGCGGCGCGGGGCCGGGCTCGGCAGCGGGATGCTGCGGGCTCCGCCAGCGCGGGGACCGCGGCACCGGCACCCGGGGCGGGCGGGGACGAGGGCAGCGGCATCCCGGGGCGGGGTGGGGACCCGCGGCATCGGCATCCCGGGGAGCGGCAGGCACCAGCATCCCGGGGACCCGCGGCGCTGGCATCCCGGGGCGCGGCGAGGACCCTAAGATCGGTAACACAGGGACCGGGGCACCGGCAACCCGAGTACCCGGGGTACCAGAACCCCCGGGCATTGCAGGGGTCAGCAGCTTGGGGTGCGTCGGGGACTCGGGGCATTGGCAACCCGGGGTGAGAGGGCAGCCGGAGCAGCGGCATGCAGGGATGAGCGGGGAAGCGAGGCACAGACATCCCGGGGTAAGCGGGGAGCCGCCGTGCCAGCATCCACGTCCCGGGATGCTGCTGGGTGCCGGGGCGCAGGGACACTCCTCCCCGTGCCTCTGCGGGCGGGTGTAGGGGAGTCCCTGGCCCCGGAGCCTGCCTTGCCCGGGGGCTGCATTCCCCCTCCCCGGGGAAGGGAGCACGGAGGTCCCTCTGGAGAGCTGTGCACGCTCAGCATGAGACCCGGGATGGGAGGCTGGCACAGCGCTGGTCTGTTGGTAGTCACCCTCTCCCGCACCCGAGGCGAGCAGGGAGTCCCCCGTCAGCTCCATCTCCAGCCCTGAGCATTCTGGTGGCCTCTCAGCATAGAGCAGCAGCTCGTGTTCTGCCTGCAGGGAGCAGCCAGCAGTGGGAACCCCCTTCCATTCTCCCCTCTGCCTGCCTGGCAAACCCCCGCACCGCCCAAGGCAGGGCTTGGACATGAGCATCTTCAAGCCGATGAGCACAGAGACGCTCAGCAATGGGGATGGGGCTCTGCAGGGGCAATTTTGGACGACCAGAAGGCAGATGTCTCCCCAGTCCTGTCCCAGCATGTGGGGACACCACCCTGCAGGAGCTGGGACGCCCCCCAGCCCCATGGGCCCCCTCAGGTACTCAGCAGGGGACTCCCAGTCCTACCCTGGTCTCATGGATATCTTGCACAGGATCTCCTCAGTGGTCTGCAGCCACCAGCCCTGCACACCTGGGACATGCACGGCCCCAAGCCCCGGGTGACAGGGCATTTAGGGTAGGCTACAGGCAAAGGATAAGAGGTTCCTCCTCCTCCTCTACGCATTTCTAATGGCTCCTTTGAGACAAGCCACACGACTCCCTGCTGGGAAGCCTCGCTGAGCTGTAAGTACAGGGTTTTTTATTTGGGCTGTTAATCTAAATCCATTGTACCTGGTTGGAAAAGACTCTGTGTGCAATGCTCCCTGCACTTGCTGCATCCTCACTTGAATGTCTATCAGCACCTTCCTTCCCACTCCCCTGAGTTCCCTCTGCCAGGTAGAATAAATATACATAACTTCCATTTGAAAGCCTTTGAGAAAAAAAATATGTTGTCAAGGGAAACTCTTCTAGCATTTCTTATAGACATGCTTGATGTGTTTTATATTTTATTTTTACTGTCATAAATGCATATAGCAGGGATTTTTTTTCTCCACAAGATAGATATTAATTTGAACGCCCAACACCCAGCTCACACTGGGCTTGTGTAATTCTGACGGTTGTCTCAAAATAGCTTACAATATATTTCAACATCTATCAGAAAGAGACTGACTTGATCTGTTCCCTTTTTCCAATCATTCATGGAAATTTTGGGTCAACTAAAGGAAAATTTTGCAAATTCACTTTCTCCCAGACAGACACATTTGTATTCTCTGTCCATCGTGCTTTTAAATAAAAATCACCCGAGCTTCCAAAGTGAGCTTCTGTTTCCCAGCTGATTCCCCTGCAAATGTGAATGGGGTGCACGCTTTGATGGTCCAACAGGGGAGATCACACTGGGTCCCAGTTCAAAGCCCAGTTCTCTTCTAAAGCTGAGTTTAGCTGCTTGTGGAACAAATAGGCAAGAGAGTTATAAAACTATTAATTGCTGCTTTAGATTCCTAGATGAAAGCTGTATGTGGGCAGAAATAATTTGGTCTATTCATAAGTGAACATCATAAAGGAACATCTCTGCAGCTCGTGACCCTTCTCCTCAGGCTGCTTCCAGTGCAGGAGGGATGGAGGGATTTCCCTGGGATATAAAGCTTGCAGGGTCCTGACACCCACCTTTTAATTTTGAGCCGGGAGAGAGGTAGGAGCTATCCCCTTCTGGCTGTCTGGGTTTGGCACGTCTCACCCAGAGCCACAGCTGTGCTCTGGGGATGGTCCTGCTGAGCTGGAGCAATGCTTCAGGCTTGTCCTGCCATCCTGGGCTGTCCTGTGCCCTAGCCCAGCCCCCAAGCCACCTTGGCTTTGATTTTGGTGGCCTGACCTTTCAGAGAGGCTGCTCTATAGGGAGGGTGCAGAGAGAGTCTGAGGGTGGTTTTGGGATCAGCTGGATCCCACAGATGCACCTCCAGGGCCCCCCATCTGTGCATGTGTGCTTACAGCCTGAATGCATGAGCATCCTTCTGGAAGGAACCTGGATTAGTCATCCCTACCCCACAGATGGGCTGTGTGATGTCTTCTCTGGAAAAGCTAATCTGACACTGAAATTCCAATTTATCCCTGAAAGAAGGGTTTACACCCCTTCTTCTCCCTTGCTTTTGGCTTAAGCATTAAAAATGGATCCTTCTCCTTCTTGCCTCCCGTTTGAAAGGCAAGGCATGGAGTCCATTAAGCTCTGAGGTTTATCACCAGCTGGTTGCCTCCTCCAGACGTGGTGTGATGGAAGTGCTGCTTGTGGTGCAAAGCTGTGTCTTTAAGGAGCCCCGGGCTGGGAGATGCAGTGGAGTTCACAGATGCCTTTGCCAGGCTGTTTCACACAAATCTGGCATTTCCTGTACCCACAGCCATGCTAAGCTTAAAAACACCTCCGGGGCTCAACCATGGCTCCATTACCTGTTCCTCTGCAGCTCTGCCCTGCAGGTTTAGAGGTGACAGTGTCCCCCAGGTCCCTCCCAGTCTGACAGATCTTTTACATCGAGGTTCTCAGACTGGAAAGCAGGCAGAGCCCTGGTGTTTGCCCCAAAAATCCTGTGAGAAGGCTGCTGAGGAAGAACTCACAGGACTCCCCTGGGTGTTGTGACCCACCTCATGTCCCTGACCTGGCCTTGGCCCTTGGTGTGACACCAGGCTGTTCTCTGTGGGGTCTGCTGGCACCTCAGCATCACTGCAGGGGCCGCAGCCTTTTTATCCTCAGCTCCTGCTGTCTGTTTGTGCCCTCTGTCCCTGTGGCCCCTAAAAGCTTGGAAAATTCTGTGGGTGACATAAGACAGGAAAAAATGTAATTCCTTCACCAAGAGAGCAAAGCAGTGTCCCTCAAATCCCCCGACTTCGTGCCAGGAGCAGGGAGATCCCATGAGTACAGGGCTGCTCCATGTCCTCTGGTTGTTTTGATGAATAAGGCAGGTGGAAAAATCTGGCTTCAAGGTGGTGCATAAAGATCATGATGCTTTTTATTTGCCTTTTTGCTCTAAATTTCTGATCAAGACAGGTAAATGCATCTGCATCTGGGAATGCTTCTCTTTCTTTGATGCTTTAACTGCTTCTCATTAGAAAATAGAATTTCTGCTGCACAAAAAAGCCCAGCTCCCTGAAACTTATAAATCCCTAAAATGCAATGGAAATCAAAACTCTGGGTTTTTATTTCCCCATCGACATAAAGATTTTATTCAGTCATCAATGATTCTGAATCATGTTTTTGTTATGTTTCAACATAATCAAAATAATCTTAATATTTTACATGGCAGAACACACAAGAGGAAACAAAACAGGCAGATGAATTGTTTTGACACTTCTTCCTCTCAAATTGTCCTTAAAATCGACACCTTCTGTGACAATACTTTGATTTTGGCAAAACTGCCTGTGCTGCTTGAAGGATTGCACCATCTAAGGACTTTTTGACCAGGTCTAATTAGTAGTGTGGGTAGTGGAGCTACAAAGCACTTTGGCAGAATCACAGCAGTGGTGATTTGACAAGATCTAATTCTTCCTCCGGGAGGCTCTTTGGGGAATAAATCTTCTCTTCAGTGACTAATTACCTGTTTGAAGAAGGAGAGCCCCATGGGTGAGGTGCTGGAGGTGAATTAAACTGCCTTCCTTAGGCCATTAACAACCTGCAGAGGGAGAAACTTTAGCAGGTAAAAAAGCAAGGAAAAGTTTCACATGGGAAAATCATTGGCTTTTCTTTTTTTTTAGCTTCCATACCACAGGAGAACAGCAGTCTAAAGCTGGTTTTTTCCCCTTCTCTCTCCTTGGTCCTCACTTCTCAAAATGCAAACATCCCTCCTCATTCCCCAGGGTGCTTCTGCCAGGAGCGCCCTCCAGCCCTGCTGTCTCATCCACAGGTGGAATCCGCTCCTGCTCTGCTGATCATGGTCAACAAGACCTTAAACTACTGGGGTCCCAGTTTTGAGGAGGACGTTATCAACATCAACGTGGGCGGTCTGCGGCGGCGGCTGAGCTCCAGTGCACTCTCCAAGTTCCCCGACACGCGCCTGGGCCGGCTGCTCTCCTGTGACTCGGAGGAGTCCATCCTGCAGCTCTGCGATGACTACGACGTGAGCGCCAGGGAGTTCTACTTCGACAGAAACCCCGGCTTCTTCCTCTACGTCCTCCACTTCTACCAGACGGGCAAGCTGCACGTCATGGAGGAGCTGTGCGTCTTCTCCTTCTGCCAGGAGATCGAGTACTGGGGCATCAACGAGTTCTTCCTGGACTCCTGCTGCAGCTACCGCTACCACGAGCGCAAGCTGGAGAGCCGGCACCACAACTGGGATGAGGAGAGCGAGGTGAGCAGCGTGGACACGTCCCCTGATGAGATCTCTGACATCAACCATGACCTGCTGCGCTACAGCACCCTGCGCTGTGGCAACCTGCGCAAGCGCCTCTGGCTCACCATGGAGAACCCCGGCTACTCCATCCCCAGCAAGCTCTTCAGCTTTGTGTCCATCAGCGTGGTGCTGGTGTCCATAGCCACCATGTGCATCCACAGCATGCCAGAGTACCAGGAGGTGGATGAGAGTGGCAACGTGCTCGATGAACCCATCCTGCACAAGCTGGAGTATTTCTGCATCTCCTGGTTCACCTTCGAAGTGTCCTCCCGCCTCCTGCTCTCACCCAACCCCAGGAAGTTCTTCAAGCACCCACTGAACCTGATTGACATTGTGTCAGTGTTGCCTTTCTACTTCACCCTCCTGGTGGACGTGACCATGGGCAGTGACTCGGAGCTGGGCAACCTGGGCAAGGTGGTGCAGGTGTTTCGGCTCATGAGGATATTCCGGGTGCTGAAGCTGGCTCGGCACTCCACTGGACTCAGGTCACTGGGGGCCACCTTGAAGGTAAACTGGCTCTCTATCTCCTTGCCTACTCCTTTAGTCTAGTGCCTGGTAGGGCTGAGAGTGACCTGCTAAGCAGGTAGCAGGCCAGCCAGCAGCTGCTGGGTCTGCCAGCACCAGTGTGAGTGGCTCAGGGCTGCTCCTGACCCCATTCTGGGAAAAGGGGAACCCTCCTAAGGGCATGCTGCCAGCTGACCAGAGGCCAGTGTCCAACCCCTGGTGTCTTTTCATTTAGGGAAACAGAAATCCTGGTCCAGCTGAGTTGATACTTGAATGCTTCAGAATGCAGTGAGGTTGGGACAGGCACAAAGCAGCAATAGAAAAGCAATGGGTGAATCTCATGGTGCGAGACAACCAGCCACAGGCAGGGTCTATGCCCTCAGCAGAGCCTGGGTTTCCAGCAGCTGCCCCTCAGTGTGATGGAAACCTTGGCATGCAGGGCTGGGGGAAGCTGGTCCCAGGACCATGTGGTCCTCAGGAGGAAGGTGTGGAGGAAATGCTGAGCAAGTGGAGGACCAGGATTCAGGTATACCTAGAAGTGGCATCCCTGCAGGTCTGGTGAGAGGGTCCACATCCCCCATAACAAGCTCCAAGACTGTGTTTTTCCAGACCCCCACCCACAGCACCTCTGGCCTCTTCAGACAGACCAAGGGCAACTTGAAATCTGTCCTGCAATTGTCACTATCCTGGTGCTGCAGCCAGACCTCCATCACTGCAGCTCAGTGGTGAAGCAGGAAAGCTTCCACACCCAGTGTGGCTCTGCTCACCCCCACCATCTCTCCCCTCCATCCTCCTCCTGCTGAGAGCCATGCTCCTGAATCTGGGGAGAAGGAAACTCATCTCCTGTGCTTACACAGAAAATCCAGCCTGCTGCAGAGGCCAATTAAACTCAGCCTTTAATTGTCCCTGGTTCTTGGTGATTGCATCAACAGGAATCCTAAAGCTGGTCCTTGAGCCTGCTCAGAGTGACACATGCTCCCAATGCCCCACCACACATGGAGCTGATGCTGGGCATGGGGGGATGATCACCAGGGCAAACATTGCCTCTTCTTGGGCCAATTGCACAAATATCCCCGTGCTTTACCGCCTTCAAACAACTGGTGTACCACATGAATGGCCAATCTTTGTAACAGAGCCTGAAATTCAACCAAAGGGCCACTCTCCTCCCACTCAGTGCCTGGCATGGGAGGGAGCTGCAGCTCCTGGTGCTGCTCCCTGTGAAGGGCCATGTCAGGGATGAGTAGCTGGGGACACCGTGTTTTTGCTGCTGCAGCAGTGGCAGGGCTGGCATGGGGTGTGCTGGCCTTGGCTGCTGGGGTTGGACCCGTTCCCATGGCTGAGTCACGGAGGAAAGCAACCACTGAGTGTCAATGGGGTGAGGATGGGCAGCAGGAAAGGTCTCCTGCCAGCTTCTGCTCTGATGCAGGATCAGCGCTGCCCAGAACTAATCTTGCAGAGCCCACAGAGCATCAAAATATTCCTGGCATCCTCAAAACCTGCTGAAAACAGGGTCCAGGGTGGGTTGCTTGAAATGAAGATGCCTGAAGTCCTACCTGCATCACACTTGCTTCTGAACACTCACCTTGAAAGGGCACTGACAAGTGACAGACTCAGGTAAAACCACTGGTGAAATTTAAGTAAACTTGCACAGGTGGAAAGGGCTCCCTAAGTCCTGCTGGTGCTCCATCCAAGCATGAACACCACCTTTCAGCAGAGCAGGCACTGATGGACTCATGTGCACATTACTAAGCAGTACAGGAGGTCTGGGGAGCCGGCAGCATCGCGGCTCTGGCTTCTGACGAGCGGCTGATTCACCCAGTGACGTGCTGGAAAGTGCCCCTTCCCGGGGACTCCACAGCCAGCTCTAAATGGGGATGAGCAAAGACACAAATCTGATGCAGCAGCTTGGCATTGTGATTTAGTGGGCACATAAATTACAACGTCTTGTTAATCATAATTTACTTCCTATTGCGAGAGCAGAGAGCAGGAGCAGAGCAGTGGAGGCTGTTCACAGCCAGGAAGGGGGAGCGATGGCTCTGGCAAGCTGAATGATTGCTCCCCTGCCTCCAGAGTGCTAGCAGAGGGAATTCTGCCATTTGTGCATTGTAAACCCTGAACAGCCCTCAGACTGCTTGGGGCTTGATCCACAGCGTGTTTAATTTGAGGAGAGGCTTCCTACATGTCTCTGCCCTTCCTCCCCACCATGCCTGACATCCTTTAATGCTATTGCAGCTCTGTGGTGTGGGTTTGGATCCCCTTTCCCACTGGTTGTTGATAGATGTTGGTCCCTGGGTAATTACAGCACATGCAGGGATCTTCAGGAGTTGCTGTCTGTCCCCTCAGGGACCTAAATACATAAAGAGGTCGGAACTCTGCACATTCCCTGTCACCCTGCTGTCACTACCATGGGCTATCTTTGCCCGGTCTCCACACCGCTATTTCTAGCAAGACTCAAAGTGGGCTCTTCCATTCCAATTCTTCTGCTGTGCTGGAGGAAAGATGTGCATTTGGCAGGAAGCTGCTTGGAGGGCTTTTTGCTGGAGTCTTTTATTACCTAGCATTGCCTCCCCGAAGGCTGGCTGCTTGCTAAGCCTGCAACCCACCCAAACCCTGGTTAAAACAGCATCCCACCCAAACCCTATCCAAGCCTGCATCCCACCCAGTCCTTGGCTAAACCTGCATTCCATCTGAACCCTGGCTGAGCCTGCATCCCACTCAAACCATGGCTAAAACTCCATCCCAGCCAAAATCCACCTGCCTTCCCCCTCAATCAATGAGCAAAACAGAAGTTTTGCAGATAAAGGGCTGCAAATAGATGGCAGCCAGTGCCTGAGGATCAGCTGGGAGGTTTCTGGAGCCTTCCCTGTGCTGCAAACTCTGACCCTGCATGTAAATTGAAGCAGCAGGAGCTGTGGAGCTGCCTGACTTCCCCTTTACCTTCCCCTTCCAACACATCCCAGGGCCAGAAGTGATACTCTTTAAAAATGCATGAGGTTATTTGGTGCTGCTGGTCCCCAGCTGGGATGTGCAGACCTGCTGTTAACTTCCAGCCAGGTCATTCTTAGCCAAGTGATATACCCTTGGCTCTGAGCTGTTTGTCCTCCTCATGGAGCTCCCCTGGCACTGCTATAGGTGAGGGAGGAGAAAGGGAGGAGAAGGAGGAGGAAGGGGAGGAAGAGGAGGTTATTTGGTATTACTGGCATTATCTGAGCAGATTTTGCCAGCTGTCTAAGCAAAGTCTCCTCATTCCCTGCCATGAATCCACCTCCTTTTAAGTCTCCCCCTGACCACAGAGGCCTTTTCCCACATCTGCTGCTGTTTGCTTTGCTCAAATGTTGTTTCCTTTAGCTGTTATGTGGTCTCCAATAAAGCATTCTCTGCTTGTTAGGAGACTGGGAAAAAAAAATCCCCACAAACAGAGCTCTGCTTTCCTTTCCCCAAAAGATGAAGAGCAAGCTGGCAGGTCAGTGGGCAGAAATATCCAAAAAATTCACTTATGGCAGTCAAGAAGTGTGATTGCACAAAGCCATGCTGGAAGGATGGTGGTGTCCCCTGGCAGTCCCTTCCTGGCATCACTTGCTGCCTGGTCCTCCAGCTGCCCACTGCCTGTTCCCCCTGGGCTTCTGGCACAGGTTTATACTTTGTTCAAATATTAGGAATATAAAAAGAAAGATCACTGCACGAAGGTTTTAGATTGAAACCAGAGAAATGATGTCTTCTTCAAGGAGTGTTGCATACCACTGCCATCAGAGCTGGTGTCCCATGGCTCTATTCCCACCAAGGCTCCCAAATCCCTTGGACTGTATCTCATCAAGGTGGGCCTTGCAGCACCCTGTAGGATGGCTGCTAAGACCAGCCCATGCTGACACTGAATGGGTCCCTGATGACCAGGGATGTTTAGTTTTGTGTCAGCTCTGATGTGATGTTTGTAACAAAGGGTTTCACAAATGCTGAGGCTCAGTGGTGTGGGGGTACAGGAGGGACCCTAGGGCTCAGGGGTCCCCAGGGAGCCTGGGCTGAGAGCTGGGTAAGAGCTGAGCTGAGCCTGCAGCAGAGACCATGTCCTCCCTGCGAGCAGTGCCAGCGACTTAGGAAGGTACAAATTGCTTCTTTTAGTGGCTGCTATTAGGTGGTTTCTGGGGACCTGCCAAGATAAAAGGAAAATGTGCTAAATATTGTTAGCTGAGATCAGGCCAGAGTGAGTGCTGGAGGCAGGGGAGCAGCTTCTGATGGGGATCCCTGGCTGGGGAGCCCAGATCTGTCTTCTCACAGCCTGGTGGAGTGCAGAGAAGCAGCTGTGGGTGCCAGGAACCATTCCTGGCTGCACCACTTGCTCCAGGTGAGAGCCACTCCTGTCCCACCCTAGCCCACCCCTGGAGAAGGGCATCCCACAGCAGGGGTGGATGGAGGCACTGGGATCCCTGTGGAGGAGGGCAGGGAGTCTGTGCAGGGCTGTGTTTGCACTGTGGGATCCCTGTGTCCTGATCACTGTGGGATGCCTGCATCCTGATCACTGTGGGATCCCTTTGTCCTGATCACTGTGGGATCCCTGTGTCCTGATCACTGTGGGATCCCTGTGTCCTGATCACTGTGGGATTTCTGCGTCCTGATCAATGTGGGATCCCTGTGTCCTGATCACTGTGGGATC